ATATATATATACATATATATTTCTATTTTGAACTTATACAATTAAGACTTATTTATTCAATGCACTCTACGCGTCAGGAACTTGTCGTTATAGGCCTGTACTTCACTTAGCTTACTTATGCATTTGGCATGATGTCACGTAATAGGAAATATGGTCGGGCGATGCACCATGTGTGCATGCTATTAAAATCATTCATTGCAAACACGTAAAAAATCTGTCCATGCGAATTGTTTTAGAAATAAAATTTGATTTTTCGTGATGTCATTGGCATGATGTCGTAGCGGTAAATATGCACGGGCGTTAGCATGCACCAAATATTGCTACATGTGCACATGTGCTACAGAAGTCATTGATCACAAACACGACCGATCTGTCCATTCGAATTTTTAAAAAAATATACAAAATGTGATTTTTAGTGAGGCGTATTTTTTGTCTTTACTGAATTTTATTAAACTTGTTAAAATTTTCCACTGTTTTTTAACCCAAAAACCTAATAACCTTGGATCAAAAATGCAGAAATTCTCCTACCTTTTCCCTATATTTCCTTTGAAAGTAGAATATTATGTACGGTAGATATCTAAACATAATCTAGCTATTTTTGTATTACGTTCATGCAATTTATGCGTGCAATTACTTGTGATTAAGCCAATATACTACTTTAATTAAACCTGCTTTTAAAGCCTAATGCTTAGTGCAGCACTTTGGACGATGTCGTATTTAGCATGCACTGTGGAGAAAGTGGTAGTAATGATGTCACCACATGAAATATTAGCGCTAACTGTGCTAATTGGGGGTAAATACTTCTACTAGACTTACATGCATGCAAAATCCCCTAGCTTGAAGCAATTAACACATATTTCAAAATGTAAAATTTTTTTGAATTTTTTTGTGAAATACTCTTTTTTGCTGAATGATCGACGCCGTATAAATAAAATCCTATATCAAGTACAACTCTCGAGCTATGCAATTCAACTATAATTAAAATTGTGTTGCGAATAGTTTTAAATAGTACAATTTAGCAAAAAAAATCCACATGTCAATACGTGCATATTTTAAAATACAAAATCTACCCGTGTACCTGTTCTAAAACAATCTGAAAAGCTTAAAAATTGTAGATTTTTAACGGCATTAGTTTCAATAACAGTTTTCCTATCCAAAGGCATCTTTAACATTTTAATCTATTTTACAAGTCAATTTTTCCTATATCTTCAAAATCATCCAAGTGAAAAATATTATTTCAAAAAGTTTTAAAATTCAAAATATTAGTTATGTGCAAAATACGTATGATCAGAATTGTAACTTCAAATTATTTCCGTGTCCTCAATTTTCCAAAATGTAAACGGAAAAAATAAGCATGTATATTTTCCCTACCTGTTATCTGGCTTGGATGTATCTCTTTTAAAAGTATAAAATTAATACAGCATTATGTGAGGTGGATATACACATCAGGTGCTTCTGTGTTCACTTTATGCGTGCAGTTTCTTGTCATTAAGCCAATACTGTATTATATGCATGCTCATAGCTTACTTGTGCACTTGGCATTATGTCATTGTAAGAAATACGTTTTACGTAATTGAGAGTTGATACCTTGCACGAAATATTGCCACTGGTGTGTGGTACAGAAATCATTAATTACAAACACGAACGATTTATCGTGTTAAAAAATGATAGAACCATATAAATGACACAGAGAACCTATTTCGCCATTTTACCACATTAATAATTTCATATGTTTCAAATAGCAAATGTATTCAAACGTGTCTAGATGTTTGAATACAGTTGCTATTTGAAACATATGAAATGGTCAGGCGATGCACCATATGTGTGGAACGTAAGGCGCTAATTAAGTTGACAAATTGTCAACTTTGTATACAGTGAGCAATATTGTAGAGTACATTATTATAAGTTCAATAACAAAAACTACATAATAATTTTCTTGTATGATTGCATGGCGACTTTAGTAATTATAATAACTTGTAGGTACACCACGTAAGTATTAAATACTGCAAAGCTTTCGGTCCGTTAACCCGGACCTTCATCAGTGCAATTACTTGAATACACGTTTGCGCGTCACTTAAATATCATGTTAGTCGTGATTAGTTTGCTCGCGCTATTAATTAAACGGTTTCATTTAATTAAGTTCTAACTAATGCGCGCGCCCTGCTTTCTAGGGCGCGCGCATTAGTTAGAACTTAATTAAATGAAACCGTTTAATTAATAGCGCGAGCAAACTAATCACGACTAACATGATATTTAAGTGACGCGCAAACGTGTATTCAAGTAATTGCACTGATGAAGGTCCGGGTTAACGGACCGAAAGCTTTGCAGTATTTAATACTTACGTGGTGTACCTACAAGTTATTATAATTAAAAACTACATAATTGCTTTTTTCTATCATATAAAGAGAACGCAATTTTTTGCTTGAGAGTAATTAAATAATATTCAGTCTTCTGGTGCTATATTCATTAAAAATTGCATGAATCATGGCTCAGCCATGCTCAGTGATTGTTATAAGGAGAATTCGCCAATTTTTAAAACGTAGAATGTTATGAATTATTTCTTTCTTGTTGCCCACCTTTTGCTCCAAAGATCCTTAAAATCTTACATTAAAAAACCGAAATTTCCCTAACCTTTAGCTGGCTCGGATAACTTTTCAAAGTGTAAAATTATTGCTTTTTTACGTTAAGCAGTATTATGTGTTGCAGATATATACACCAGACTTATTTATTTAATGCACTCTACTCGTCAGGAGCTTGTCGTTATAGGCCTGTACTTTACTTAAACATGCTGTCAGCTTACTTATGCACTTGGCATGATGTCGCGTAATAGGAAATATGGTCGGGCATTGCGCCATATTTTCTACAGAAATCATTCATGACAACACGTAAAAAATCTGTCTATGCGAATTGTTTTAGAAAACAAAATGTTATTTTCGTGATGACATTGGCATGATGTCGTAGCGGTAAATATAGGCGGGCGTTATACCATGCACCAAATATTGCTACAGGTGCATGTATGCTACAGAAGTCATTCATCACAAACACGACCGATCTGTCCATTCGAATTTTTAAAAAATATATAAGATGTGATTTTTGGTTAGGAGTATTTTTTAACTTTACTGAATTTTATTAAACTTGTTAAAATTTTCCACTGTTTTTTAACCCAAAATCCTAATAACCTTCGATTAAAAATGCAGAAATTCTCCTACCTTTTCTCCTATATTTCCTTTGAAAGTAGAATATTATGTACGGTAGATATCTACACATGATCTAGTTATTTTTGTATTACGTTCATGCAATTTATCCGTGCAATTACTCAAGATTAAGCCAATATACTACTTTAACCAAACCTGCTCTTAAAGTCTAATGCATACTGCAGCACTTTGCACGATGTCGTATTTAGCACTGTGGAGAACGTAGTAGTAATGATGTCACTACATGAAATATTCGTGCTAATTCTGCTAATTGAGGGTAAATACTTTTACTACACATACATGGATGCAAAATTCCCTAGCTTGAAGCAATTAACACATATTTCAAAATGTAAAATTTTTGTGATTTTTTTTGTGAAATACTCATTTCTACTTAATGATCTATTGATATATTGTGGAATGCAGTATTATAATTCAAATAACAAAAACTACATAATTGCTTTCTTTTATTATATAATTTCTTGCTTGAGAGGAAATAAATAATATTCAGTCTTTTGGGGATATATTCATTAAAAATTGCATGAATCATGACTCAGCCATGCTCAGTGTTTGTTATGAGGAGAATTCACCAATTTTTAAAACGAAGAATGTTATAAATTATTTATTTTCCTGTTGCCCACCTTTTGTTCCAAAGATCCTTAAAATCTTACATTAAAAAACCAAAATTTCCTTTACCTCTCAGCTGGCTTCGACATCTCTGGGAAGTGTAATATTATTGCTTTTTATACATAAGCAATATTATGCGTGGCAGATACATACAGCAGGTTTATTTATTTGATGCACTCTACGCCGTCAGGAACTTGTCGTTATAGGCCTGTACTTTACTTAAACATGCTGTTAGCTTACTAAACACTTGGCATGATGTCTCGTAATAGGAAATGTGGTCGGGCGATGCACCATGTGTGCTACAGAAATCATTCATTGCGAACACGTAAAAAATCTGTCCATGCGAATTGACCACTTGCGCAATAGCTCTTCCCGCTAAGCATGACGGTAGGAGTCTGTAGGTTGCTTTCGAACGAAATGGCTGTCGCACGAACGAGCGATTTCGTTTGGAAGGAAGCAAGGGCGATTTTTGGCTTTATTCAGCATGGATTGATAAAACCTTTGTGTGGAAAATAGCGAGGGTGTTTGGCAGTGCTCATTTAGAAAATTTCAAGAAATTCGGCGCATAAGTAGCGAAGAAATTTTGTTGTGAAGACGACCAGTTGTACGCACGCTTGCACAAAATTCGCTCGTGAAAACCTCATCGCATCAACAAAACTGGTGAGTTAGCTTTTCTACTTGCGATCAGCTAATATTTTTTTAAGAATAAGCTCAACCGATAGTTATTCTCATTGGATTTCAAGTTTATTTTGCTCCTATAGCTTCAAAAGTGCCATATTTTACTTCATGAAAATGGCGTACGTTAGCCAAAATTTTTGTTCGATTGTGTCATTGCCAGCCATAGCCATGAAAAAATGTTTTGAAGTAGTTTTGGCGCGAAAAGATCTGAATTTAAATTAGTTGCTTGTAAACAAAAGACGAAAATATAAAGTTAAAAGTGTTTTCTGTGGTTTTCTGCTGTCGTTTGTCCTCGAGTTGAAGTTTGCTTTTGTTCTTATCCTCCATTCTAGTTCAATAAATACTCGTGAGTTATAAAATATTTTAATAATAAATTAGGTAAATTTAGGGGTTTTAAAATAGCGAAGTCTCGTATTTAAATTTTTAGATAGCACATAAATATTAGATAGAATTATTTTGATTTAAAAACTAATAGGTAAATATAAATTGAAGTAGGACAATATAATAATAATTTAAATAGTATAATGGAGGGTGAAGCAAGCACTTCACATGAGGCAAACAATGCTGCTACAGAATTGAAAAGGTGGACAAGGGACTTACATGGCCTCCCAGCATTTAGTTATGAGTTACTTATTAAGCATTGTGGAATTGAACATTCTGGTGCTGGTGCTCAAAAACACAAGAAACTAGGTTATCAATTGTTTAAAGATAAATATGTTGGCCAAGTTCAGGTTAAAAAAAATGTCACGAAAGGCAACATGGTGTGTTTCCTAGTTAAAGGCTGTGTAAATGCTGCTATGAAAAACAATGTATACACTGTATATGTTCACCTAAATGAAGCTAATGGGGAGGTTGTGCACACTAACTGTACTTGTACAGCAGGAAAAGGTGGGCAGTGCAAACATGTTGTTGCTCTGCTATTTCAAATAATCGAGTATAAACAATTAGACATGACAGAAATCCCTGATACACCCACTTGTACAGAATTACTACAGCAATGGCATGTACCAAGGAAAGATGAATCTGATAAGCCTGTTCTTTATGAGAACATTCCATTCAAAAAGGCCACATATGAAAAAGACATTGGTAAAAAGAGGAAAAATAATCAGCAAGCCCCAATTGTACATAACCCTATTCCACAATTTGCACAGAATGTTACAAAACCTGAAGTACAAAAGTTGGCTAATTCTTTAATAGATATTAATGAAAAAAGCTATTTGGGGAATTTGTTAATGTCGAATGACTGTGAGCCATACCCTTTCCAAAGCATACATGTAGATATACCATCTAAAAAGAGACACACTGAGTCAATGCAACTTGAGATTAATTACCCTAATGTTCGTGACAAAATTTTAAAAAACCTACAACCGACAACAAATGAGGAAACTGTTAATTGGCAATATGAAAACATAAAAATTTTACATTCATCTGTCAAAATATCATATGAAGAAATACTTGAGATTGAACGAAACACTAGGGAACAATCATCAGAAGATCGGTGGTTTGAGGAACGCGGAAAACGATTAACCTCTTCAAATTTTGGCCCAGTAGTTAAGCGAAGGCAGCAAAGGTACCCAAAAACAATCATGTCAAACATAAAATCTAGTCGGTCTAAGTGTCCAAAGCAGTGCCAATGGGGGAAAGACAAGGAGTGTGAGGCTATCAGGGAATATGCGAAACTAAAAAAAAGCAAGGAAACATGTGTGTGCACATTGTGGTTTTGTCGTAAATTCACAATTTCCATGGTTGGGTGCCAGTCCTGATTTTTTAGTTTGCGATGGTGCAGAAACTAACTCATTTGGTATTGGGGAGGTGAAATGCCCTTTCTCCAAAAGGGATATGAGTGTTGATGAAGCATGCAAAGACAAAAACTTTTGTTTACAAAAACTTGATGGGAAAATCCAGTTAAAAAAACGCACAATTATTTTACCAAATTCAAGGGTGTATGGCTGTGCTAAAAGTTAGTTGGTGTGATTTTGTTGTTTTTACAAATGTTGACCTATACATTGAAAGGGTATATTTTGACAATGATTTTTGGTGTAAAATTGTTCCAGAACTAAGCAATTTCTATGCTGAATATATGTTACCAGAATTGTAATAAACAGCATTATATAATTTGTGCATTAGGCTCATAATAGAACTAACTTAACAGTTTAAGATTGCTTATCTTTAATTATTGACGGTAAAAACAATGTTAAATAGGAGCAAACACTCCAAATTTGTTCCAAGTTTTCAGCCAATGTCAATGGAATAACTTGGTGCAAGATTCGATAATTTTTAACTCTGGCTATTGCACGCTCAACATGAACTCTGACCGATGCAATTTTGCGTGTTTTAACTTCGTCTTCTGCCGATAATTGAGGCTGTCCGTTAAGAAAAGGTGGAATATTTAACAAAACTCCGCTTGGAAGATCAGTCTCAATATCAAACCCCTATCTGCCATTATTTCATCTCCAGGCTCAACAAGACTTAGAATGCCACAGTCATTGGTAATTTTTTGTCACTTGTGCGCCCAGCATACAAACAAGAAACAAAACTTGGGTATCCACTCGGTGAAATACCAATCAGGCCTTTTGCAGTGTTGTGGTGCTTGTAGCTAGAGAATGTGACTGATTGACTCCTGCATGACGAAGGCATTTCAATAAATATTTCTGTGCAATCAATGATCACTCTGGTTTTTGGATAGGCTTGTTGAAAGCAGGGGGCATGTTTTCGTCAATAAATTTGCGACTGGGCCAAATTGGTAGGGAACGAAGGCGGTGGTGTAAAAAAATTATCCAGGTTTTAAAAATGCGAGACACATGGCTAGCTGATATATTAAACCGGTGTGCAATATCTTGTAGAAGTAACCCCAAACGTAACCTTACAAGAACAAGAAATAATTCTTGTTCTGGTGACAAGGATCTTGGTTTGCCACATTTGCTTTGAGACTCTGAAGTTACAGGGGTACTGTGTGTGCCAAAGTACATAAGGTGTTCACAAGCGGGTGAGAGGTAATCATAAAACGCTTTAAAACACGAGTAATTGGGAAAGCCAGTGTAGAACCTGAAGTCACTGTCACTGCCTATAAATCTTTCAATGCGAAATAAACCACATTTCAAATTTTCAATGTCTTTGTCGAATTTTGCTTGCATAGTTGTTTTCTGAGCCTCAAGCAGAGTTATTTTATCATGTAGTTGATTTATAGTGCCTTGAATGGCCTCAGTGTTATTATCATTGTGATCTATTTCTGGTATTTCCTCAATGGTTGAGGTTTCAATAATAGGTGGAACAACTGGTACTCTCATAGCTGGGCTCTTTCTTGGTTTACTTGTTGTGTGTGTAGTAAATACTGTTGGAATAGTGTTGCTGTAAGACTTTTGCCGCCCACAAAATGCATTGAACATACACGGTGACTATGACCAGGATCCCTAACACCTTTCCTTTTCAACAATTGTACCCATTTTTTCTTTAGTTCAGGATTTTTTGGTATTTTGTGAAATGATAACTCTGGATTTTGTCTGTTATTACTTTGACATTGTGGTATACAACAATAAGTTTTCCATATTCGAGTGCCTCCAGTAGTTTCAGCATTGTTTGCCTCATGTGAAGTGCTTGCTTCACCCTCCATTATACTATTTAAATTATTATTATATTGTCCTACTTCAATTTATATCTACCTATTAGTTTTTAAATCAAAATAATTCTATCTAATATTTATGTGCTATCTAAAAATTTAAATACGAGACTTCGCTATTTTAAAAACCCCTAAATTTACCTAATTTATTATTAAAATGTTATTTTATAACTCACGAGTATTTATTGAACTAGAATGGAGGATAAGAACCAAAGCAAACTTCAACTCGAGGACAAACGACAGCAGAAAACCACAGAAAACACTTTTAACTTTATATTTTCGTCTTTTGTTTACAAGCAACTAATTTAAATTCAGATCTTTTCGCGCCAAAACTACTTCAAAACATTTTTTCATGGCTATGGCTGGCAATGACACAATCGAACAAAAATTTTGGCTAACGTACGCCATTTTCATGAAGTAAAATATGGCACTTTTGAAGCTATAGGAGCAAAATAAACTTGAAATCCAATGAGAATAACTATCGGTTGAGCTTATTCTTAAAAAAAAATTAGCCGATCGCAAGTAGAAAAGCTAACTCACCAGTTTTTGTTGATGCGATGAGGTTTTCACGAGCGAATTTTGTGCAAGCGTGCGTACAACTGGTCGTCTTCACAACAAAATTTCTTCGCTACTTATGCGCCGAATTTCTTGAAATTTTCTAAATGAGCACTGCCAAACACCCTCGCTATTTTCCACACAAAAGTTTTATCAATCCATGCTGAATAAAGCCAAAAATCGCCCTTGCTTCCTTCCAAACGAAATCGCTCGTTCGTGCGACAGCCATTTCGTTCGAAAGCAACCTACAGACTCCTACCGTCATGCTTAGCGGGAAGAGCTATTACGCAAGTGGTCAATTGTTTTAGAAAATAAAATGTGATTTTTCGTGATGAATGTTTTTTAGCTTGACAGATTTTATTGAACTTGTTTAAATTTTTCAATGTTTTGTGACCTTATAAACTAATAAGCTTACCGAAACTTTCCTGACTTATCTCGGATATCCGTTGAAAGTCTAACATTATTTGCGCTAGATATATACACAAAGCCTAGCTATTTATGTGTTTGTGCAAATTATGCGTGCAATTAGTTGTGATTAAGTCAATAGATTACTTTACTTAATCCAGCTCTTAATTCTTAATGCATTCTGGAGCACTTAGCGTCATGTCGTATTTATCACTACGTAGGAAGTCTTGCAGTAATGATACACCTGATTAAATATTCGCAATTAATTCTGCTATTTGGCTGTCAATAGGTCGGCATAGAATTGCCTGCAGTAGCCTTGCATTGACGACATGATCTTAAATTTGATTCAGTAATTGAACTAGCTGTTGCTCACCCAGCCCGCCATTTGTGTTACGTTTTTGCAATAATTCAAGAATTCTGTATTTTACTCTTTAGGTGGATTTCCTTTCGGTCGAGAACGCTAGCTGGTGGATATTTTGTGATCTCTTTCTTTTATACTAGTGTATAGTGAGAAAGGGAAGATATCTTTATATCTACCTGTAAAATGAAGTGAACGTGGAAAACAGATCACGAAGTTTCATTGTCTCTTTAATTTTCTGAGCTCATGAAAATTTCGTCTTAAATTGGATTATCCGCTTTGTGATGTGTTATGTGAAAATGGTATTGAAATATTGACTGTTACCCCACTTCCTGTTTGACATTGTCTTTGAAAAAACAACTTTTATTTTGTATTATTTTATATTGTTTATAAAAAATATATAGCAAGGAATGAGATATAAATCACACAGGAACTTTTCTGAGCCATTGAACTATTCAGTCACATACGAAAGAGCTTTATTGGAAAGCAGCCTTTAACGACTGAAACATGAACTGCGTTTTTGCATCAAAGAACAAGTATACCAACTTACAAGTCGAATTGAATTTAATTTCAAATCTTAATTTCAAATAACAATAACCATCAGTTATCGTTCCAATGTTTACATATAGTTCACTAAACCAATTAAATCGTAAAAATAATACAGAATTCGAATCTGTACATTCAGACTCGAATAAAGCTACGAACATTAGACAAACCGCATAAGTTATGAGTTAAACAAGATGAATTAGCATGATGAGTATAGCCCTTATATTTGCCTCGTATTGTTGATCAATTTAACCACTTGAATAATCATCTGCCATGGAGATTACTAAAGTAGCGTTACGTGATATTGAAATTACTAATGAAAATACAAACGTTTCACAAAACCTATATGATTAAGTAAAGAAAAATGGAAGTTGTCTTAAAACAATTTTAAACATCATTTTCAATTCCGCGTATGGCATTTACCTCTAGCTCAAACTTTGATCGTACATGATTCATACGACTTTGGGTTTTGGTCGAGGAGACGAGCGTCGAGGCTGAGGCGAGGTTGATAGTCAATGTTTATCGCATTTTTTCGGCGAAGTGCACGTTTAGGATGAAGTCGAGGGTTGATTTTTATCGCTGTTTTATACTAGACGAAGTCGCGCGAATTAGCATACTAACTGTCCACATCATCCCACCAGATAGTTTTTAAAAGGTTGTTTCTAACACCGTGAAGTGAAAAGTCCTAATATTCATCTAGCACTAATTTAATAATATTCAAATCAAAAGTATTTTCAGCTGTCTATTACGCTATATAAACACAGTCTTTGGAGTATAGTCATGAAAACAACACCGGACTGATTTTATTTTACAAACTTTAATGCGTGAAAATTCAACAGCAAATGCCAGTAATGACAAGGCTACTGAACAAATAATTCATTGACATTGTGTTATGATAACACGTTTAATTATAAAGATCGAAATAAAAGCTAATGACACCTGCCTCGTAAAAATTAATCCAATGTTACTTTCATTTATTCAATAATGTAAAATAGGATCAGTCTATTAATGAACATGCAGATGATAAAGTTTTATTGAACCCACAAACTGCATGCAAAATAGAAACGAATTACGTCATGGAACAACCAAATGCTTTTCATACCACGCGAGAAATCGTCAACGAAAACGTTAGACTAGTGATACAGCATTAAAATTGGTTACAGTCGGTAATGTAAACGAAGCTTTGTTCACATTTTGAATCCATATTATTATCGCCTAAAATATCAAGAAATTTCTTTTAGTTCGCTATACTTTAGATGAATATGGGAGAAAGTATATGTCCCGAGATATACGAAACATGTAAAATTTGAGCAATTTTGAAACAAGTAGACAACCATTGTTATAAGCAGAACCGATGCCAGTGGCTTAACTACTATGGGCTCAGGGTGTGCAAACCCGCGGGCCCCCTGGCTTAAGGGGGCCCCTGTGAGATTAGAAGGTTATTGTAATTCTATGAATAAAACAAGAGAAATCGCACAAACTTACATATAAAAAGGTTCAATTCAAAGGCTAGAGAGCGAAATCGTACCAGAGAACAAGAATATTTGAGGCGAAAAGTACATTATCATCAGTGGCGTAGCCAGCCTGACGATTTTGTCCCGCTATGTAAATTTCGAGTTATTATAATTATTCGTGCCTTTAGAAATCTATTGTTTTCACAGTCAGTGAACACCAAAATATTAGCATAGCGGGACAAATCGACAGGCTGGCTACGCTACTGATTATCATTGATGATTCGTTCCAAATCAATTTCTCATGTGCGCGCGTGTAATTTTGAAATATGTAATTTTAACCTTATCCGTGGAAGCACTGGAATTTTAAACTTAAACAGTGGAAGCACCTACGTATTTAATATGGCGTCACGGTCACAGAGTAAGGATATCCTTACTCTGTGTCACGGTTGGATGAGTAACATTTCAATTTAAATAAAGGATAAAGTCATAAAGGTAAGCCATAAAGACTAAAGTTTAACGAAGACAGATCAATATATAAAATATACATACAATATTTACAGTATTTAATTATTGTTTTCAATAATATTAATTTTGCTTTTAAATACTCTGGAGTTAGAGCCTTAGATGGGGAATTTAAAGGAACTTTCAGGGGCTCAGAAACGCAATAAGAGAAAAATCCAGAGCGAAAAACAAACAGCTATCAATTCAAAGATCCCGAAAATAACCAACTTGTTTCGTGCAGCGGCAGAAACTACCAGTAATGAGTGCGTTGAGCTTGAATCCGAACCATTACCAACTTCTTCGACTTCGAACGAGTCCGAAGAAATTTCTTCAAGAGGATCATCATCATCACCCGTACAACAGGAACAGGGTTGTTATCAATAATTGTTCATTACTGCATTTTTATCATTTTGTCTTTGATACGTTTTTGCATTTTCAAATCGATATATTAAATAAAGTTGAAGTGAATAAGTCATTGAATTAATGATTGAATTATTAAGATCTTTACTTAATTTTGGACAGTACGTACAGTTTTTTTATTTTTTCCACTTTCCAGATAATTTGAAAAGCAGTGAGTCAGCTGAAGCCCCAGTTGATACTGATCGCATTGACCATATGTTGACGGTTTCTTCGAGTAATACTGATAACATATTAGGTACTGTAATGTTTTTCTTTAAATATGAGTTATAGAAAGATAGCTAGACAAAGCCAAACGTAAGCCATTAAGATTACATACTAGTTTCCATCAATCATGATATGTTCATCATAATTTTATTTTCAGATAGAAAATATACAGAACTGAAAGATTTTGATCCTTGTAATACTTACCCATCAGATCGTGGACATTTCAAAAACGAGTTATCTAACAACTTAATTGAAGTTCTAGCTAGGCATGGCAGTTGCCAACCGAGTAAAATGATTAAAATCGAGAGTGGACAGACATTTAATCCTGCACATTATTATTATAGGTGAGTACTTTCGATATGAACACTTTTCCTAGTCCCATACACATTGATAACCCAATACGTATTCGCTTGAGGAAATATCTGCGTAAAGATAATCTCTTTCAATGTTTGTGTAGGAATTTGAAATTATTTTCTGTGAAAAGGGACTGGTTTAGCTGCTCAGAGAAACTAGGCACTGTATATTGTCACAATTGCTGGTTGCTGGCACGGAATACTTCAAATAACAAAGATAGTCCATGGATAGATGGCTTTATCCCAAACACAAAGCGCCTGAAGCAACAAATTGAAAGGCATGAAGAAAGCATTGCTCATAAAGAAGCTACGAAGAGTCTTGCTCAGTTAAAGGCAGGCAAAGGTATCAACATGCTAAATGAAGCTGGGATTGCAAAGATCAAGAACTTCTGGCGTGAGGTTTTGCGTAGAATAATAGTGATCATATTGACTTTGGCAAACCTGTGCCTGCCTTTTCGTGGCCACAGAGAGGTTATCGGAAATGGAAGATGTGAAGGAGGCAATTTTCTTGGTTTAGTTAACATGCAGTTGAGAATGGGTGACGGTGATCCGTACTTTAAACAGCTTGTTGGGTCGAAAGCTCGTAAATGTAGATATTTATCACCCACTATCCAAAATGAAATGATTGAAATTCTTGCAAATGCCACACGACTAAAGTTCGTTGAAAAAATCAAAGTTGCGCCGTGTTTCACCTTAATTTTTGACACAACAAGCGACATTTGCAGAGTGGACCAAATCTCGATTGTTGTAAGGTGGGTAGATATGGAAGCTGCAACAGTTGTTGAGACATTTTTGGGATTTATTCCGGCCAAACAAGGAGGAACTGCTAAAGCGTTAACAGATACTGTCCTTGACTATTTACGACGTATTGGTTGGGATCCCAAACAAATAAGAGGACAGGGTTATGACGGAGCGAGTGTGATGAGCGGGAGCAAGGGAAGTGTCAACGTACTGATCTCAAATTACCTTAAAAGTGAAGGAATAACATCACCCGCGCCGTTTGTGCACTGTGCTAGCCACAACCTAAACCTTGTTGTGAATGATGCTGTTGAATGCAATGCTGACAGCATCAACTTTTTTGCTGATCTTGAAGAGATATATGCTTTCTTTAACAGAAGCATCAATCGAACGGCAGATCTAAACAGCACTGATCTCAGCGTGATCGACGAATTCACAAATGAAGTTTCCTTTGACAGTGATACGGACTCTGACGACACTGCCATTAATGTGGGTTCAACCACACAGGCCAAAAAAAAGAAACAGAGGAAAGTTAAAATTAAGTTGACATTAAAGAAACTGTGTGCTACCAGATGGTCATCAAGAATTAACTCAGTAAGAGCAGTGAAGAATCGATATCGTGATTTACTTCATGTGTTGGACAACTTGAAAAGGAAAGGAAAAGATAATGTCAAGGAACGAGAGGAAGCTGCCAGTTTGCATCTCAAATTAAATAAATTTGAATTTGTTGTTATGCTTATTATATGGGAGAAGTTACTCGCAGCAATTCAGATCGCTTCAGCTAACTTACAGTCAAACAAAATAGACTTGAGTAGGTCAGCCAAAGAACTTGAAAGAGCCATGCGTAAAATAAGTGGCATGCGAGACAAATGGGATGCGATCAAAATGGAAGCTGTAAAGTTCGCGTTGAAAGTAGGCGTCTCTTGCACTTTTGCATTTAAGCGGGTACGCCGAGTTCCTCGATTCTATGACGAATTTGCCTCGGACAGTAGACCACAGGATCCTGAAGAAAGATTTACTGTAGAGATGTTCTACCAAGTGATTGACACCGCTACCAATCAATTAGAAGAACGCTTCAGGAGCCAGAAATTTCTTGCTGATACCTTCAAATTTGTACTCCCTGGAAGCCTTGCAACTCTTGACATTACAGAAGTTCGCAAGTCTGCCGAATTGTTTGTTAATGAATACAAGGGAGACATATGCACAGATGGGGTTGAAGTGGCAGATTACATATCTGATCTTGTGAATGAAATCAAGTCGTTTCGCTGGTGTTACGGGATGTACTGAAGGGCATGTCGACTGTTTCAGAAGTGCTATGCCTGTTGAAAGATGTGGGGCTCAGTACTTACTCAAAGCTATTATTAGCGGTTGTCATATTCATCACTCTTCCGGTGACAATTGCGAGTGCAGAACGCTCATTTTCAAAGTGGAAACTTATAAAGAATTACCTTCGCTCAAGCATTGCACAAGATCGCCTGGACTCACTGGCAATTCTTTCAATTGAGAACAATGAAGCGTGGTTGTTAGACATTGAAAAGCTTATTGACACGTTTGCAGACAAAAAAGCAAGGATTGGAAAGTTTGTAGTTTAAATTACATTGCACTTTCGTCTTCAGGGCTCAGTTTCCTTTTCCTATTTATAAATTAACTGTTACGTTAAGAAACTGTTGAACAAATTTTTTGCATTTTGGTTACATAGCAACAACCTAAAACTGCGAATTTGGAAATTCTATATTTCTGTAATTTCTATTTGATTAAAGAAACGTTTTAATGTCGCGACTGATGCGTTCTTTTTAACAACTGATATTTTAATTACAGTAATTAATATTTAAATCATTATTTTAGGTTTTAGAATAATGTTTTAGATGTTAGTATGGTTATGTAAGGGGGCCCCTTTTAAATTTTTACCACGGGCCCCTAGTTGTGCTGTTACGCCACTGACCGATGCTGTAGCACAGAAGAGACTGTAAACCCTTTAAAGGGTGCAGAGACTCTGGCGAGTGAAAACAACGCAACGATTATCCCAAAAATTAATATTCACGGTTAGCTTTTAGTTCCCTAGAAATTTTTGGGAGCCTCATATCACAATTTTGCCCCAAAAGAACTTCCCCCCTTAAAATATAGCGTTAGTTGAAATTTGAATCGCCGACTTCGGCGGCATAATAGTATATACCAGTGCTACATAATAGTACTAAAAATGAATGTTTATGAGTGCAATGATAAGAATATTTTTATGAGGTGAAGGATGCAATAATTCGAAGAAGCAAAGGTGAGATTTTTTCCATTGCACAAAGGAAAACGTTCATTTTTTGTTTATTTAATTATGCGTGTTTAAAAAAAACCAAGTAAAATAGGTGTTATTTAATACATAATAATTATCAGATTATAATTGGTCTTGAACGTAAATTTTACTGTTTTGTATTTTATATTACTATGCAACAAATTGCAACAGTCCTTACAAGTGTATCATTTTGGATTTCAATACTACCAATCGTGCTTTAGAAAGTTCGTTGATCCGAGCTTTTGCGTCGCTTTTTTACTATATCGTAATTATTATAAATCGACAATCTATCAATGAATACACATTTGCGTTGTTAATTTAATGCATGAAATTAAAAGAGGTGCACATATCAAAACGTCCGGTTGCCCACTGGATCAGTCGGTAGATCACCAATAAATTCCACTAGTTTTCCTCCGGTCACATTATTCACGCTGCAAACGTTTAAATTGCGCTTAAGTTTTGATTTCAAGGCCAGGTGATTGGCTGTTTTTTGTGCGTCGCTGTTCTTTGTCCAAATCACATCAAAAAGAAACGGTATTGATGTAGCAACCACTGTGGTGAAGATCTTAGCATTACTCGACACGCCAGAGCCTCGAGATATAGCGCCAGGAAAAGAAACGGCAAATAAGCGAATAATACAATCAAGAATACCTTATCGAAAAAAGGTAACAAAATTTCATCGTATGGAAGAAGCGTCTCTCGGACAATATCGTATAGCGGCTTGGGAATGACAGGCTCGCCATTTTTATTCAACTCAATCACGAAACTGTGGGTAACGTCCGACGACGTAACTGAACGAAAACTGTCGCAGCTCTCACTGTCGCTGAAATGTATTTCAGGGCGGGTACATTCACAACCATGCAGAATGGAATTTTTCTTGCTAAATTTGTAAATACTTGTATTTAATTCAAGATATTTCGCTTCAACAGAAGACCTCCAATTGCTTCAGGAATAAACTAAGACGAGGGAGAGGGGGACAAAATATGTACTGTAATGTCCTGCGTTTAGATATAATATAAACCAGCGATGAAGTAGAACAAGAGAATTAAACATTTCATAAAAGAAACGAGTATTAGCAGGAAAGTCAAAATTGAGCCGAACAATTGCACGTAAAATTGTACGATAGTAAATTTTGACTTGTTTCTGTCTTTCTTTTCGTTACGACGCCTCGAAAAAGATGGATTGCCAAAAATTTGATGTCGATAATTGTTGTGCAACCTTAGCGCTTGGGATGAGGTTGTGGCCTTATGTTGTGAAGATGGTGAATTATACTGCTTAAACCAAATTTTAACGAGGATAAAACCTCCAACAACGTACAATTCAAACGGTAAAACAAAAATCAGATATAGGATTAGTAAAATCACAATTGATAAACAATATTTGAACACATCGATACGACTGACATCCTGTTTTCCATCGCTTCTTGCTTCGTCTTGGGATTCCACTTCACGCGATAATCTAGTGCGCTCGGTAACTTGAGCATTGGTCGCCGATTGTTCATTCGTTGAAGTAATTTCAAGGCTTAGCTTGAAGTGTCGACGGAGAAATGGATTCCTCCTCGCTTCTTTACGCCAAAATTTTACATTGAAAGGTAAAGCAATGATCCTTTTAAAACTTTCCATTACAAGGAAACTCGTCTTGGGATTACGGTGATCAAATTGAATCCTAGCGTCTTGTTTATTGATGTTGTATATATCAAAAAACAGAAAAAGTAACACCCAAGACGAACAGATTACCAGCACCAAGAAAAGCAAGAAGTAAGTAATTGCATTTAAAGGGTAATTTGGATCCCATTTAGGGAACAATGTTAGAAGAGTTAACACCGAGATTAATAGTTTTCTTCCAAGAGACTTCACTGGGCCATAGCCATCAATAAGTATTGTGTGAAAAATCGATGAAAGTGACATTGGGCTGTCAGAAATTTTGTATGTCGTGCATTCTTTGGGGAAGGAGCCTAAATACATGATCATTTCAGGAAAAGCAATCAAAATGAAAGCAATGAGGGCCACACCAAACATACCGCAGTTATTGATGAAAAGTCCGAATAGATGATTACGCGATCCAGTAACTGCAACAACCATAGTACGCCGTTTCTTGTTCCAGAGGCACAATTTGTAATCAAAATTATCTTCATTGACGCGGTCATGGGGGTACAGTTGGTGGGATAGAAAACTGAAAACAAAGTCAGAGGCATTCTTTCCTGAAAGCAATAGGCATCCTTCGGTCATTTCGGTGACAACAATATCCAGGGTTTCGACACCAGCATTTAATGTACTTGTATAGGAGGATAAAAGCATGGATGGAAGATCTGCGGCTTCTGTGATTAATGAAATTAACGTACGACCAATTTCGTTTGCCCAAGTTAACCGTGGTAGCACATAAGTTAACTTCGCCTCATTATTAAACGTTTCGATCCAAACATTAAATCTAATCGCATTCTTACCGCGATGATCCAATTGCAGGACTTCCTTTAAGGATGCCGCTACGTAGTTTCGATAATCGATCTGCCGACGGCAGTTTGTCAATGAATTGTTTGCTGGATTTCCAATAACTATCGATTCAACTTTATCACTTTTGGAAAATTTTGGAAATTTCAGTTGTTTGGAATGGCTTTGGACAACTCGCTGAACGCAATCAGCATCAGCACGAATATTTTGGCAGTCATTTTTTAACTCCCCAATATCATTCTAAAATAGCATCGTTAATTACTGACGTTGTAAGTTGGGAAAGTGTATAAATATTTAGTGAAAAGACTTTCTGGTAACTATATTTTACTTCTTACTTTCTGGTAACTATGTCTTACTTCTTACTTTCTGGTAACTATATCTTACTTCTTACTTTCTGGTAGCTATAGGGTTGTTAAAATTAAAAGTGATTAATTAGCTGTAAAGATACCATCGCGGGTAATCTAGGGCTATACCTAGGCCTGTACATAGGTGGGAGGGGGGATAAAATTATCCAAACGTTATTTAGTTTTTTAAAACATAATTTTATCTTCAAAAATTGCAAAAAAAAACAAATGAAAGTGCCGAACATCATTGCATTATGCATTGCATCAAACGACGTTCGGTTAGTGCATGAACTACGACCGAACTCGGTTTGCCTCGCTTCTCCCCCCCCCCCCGTTTTCTTCACCATTTCCCGCCAATATGAGCTAAATATGGCTGACGCACCTCGTCGCCAGGCCTCCACCAAACGCTCACTCTTTTATAAAGGACAAAGTAGACTTAGAAAATAAACCATACCCTCAAATAACCAAAACTAACCTGAATTGTCAGTGGTTAAATCTCGGAGTTTGCAAATATCAAAAGATAAAAAAGGGTAAAAAATTTGTACAAAATAGTACCGGGGCGTACAACCTAGACGTACCAAATAGGACACTAACTACTCGGCCACTCGATAACGTGTACGCAGCTGAAAAACCCGCTAATTTAACGTGGAATATATACAATGGCCAAAGATAGGTAAAGCGTACGAGTTGAAGCAGTGATAACGAGGTGCTCTTATATCTGAAAAAGCCTTGACCTTTAACAAGAGTTAAAAAAATAGGCTAATGGAATTATTATCTTAATATTGACGTTTTCAAACCCTTGCTGATCACTGTGTGGATGCAAATAAATAAAAAGCTGAAGGAGAAATCCCACCATTGGTCCAAACGAATCCTACTACGATGAACTGGATTGCAACCAAATAATTGCAACCAATCCAAAACAGCCAAAATCCCAAAGAAGAACCAAATCGATGAGGAAAAGCAGTCCTGTATATGAACTGTGTCCTATCCTAATTAAACGTCTTTTCTTTGTAGGTTGTCATAAGCAAGCCTCGTCCCTGGCGCGTGTATTTATTAAAAAGGTGGAAAACTCTTACATAATGCACTATTGATTTAAATACGAGACGAAGAGCCATATGTTCGGTTTCAGAATTGCTGTCATACTAAGAATTTGTGGGTTAGTTTTCATCTCAAGAATACTCCAGCCGGGTGAATGCTCAATCGCCCTGCCCTTAT